AGTGTTATCAGAAGCCTCAGTGCACCAGTGTTATCAGAAGCCTCAGTGCACCAGTGTTGGCAGAAGGCTCAGTGTACCAGTGTTATCAGAAGGCTCAGTGTACCAGTGTTATCAGAAGCCTCAGTGCACCAGTGTTGGCAGAAGGCTCAGTGTACCAGTGTTATCAGAAGGCTCAGTGCACCAGTGTTGGCAGAAGGCTCAGTGCACCAGTGTTGGCAGAAGGCTCGGTGTACCAGTGTTGGCAGAAGGCTCAGTGCACCAGTGTTGGCAGAAGGCTCGGTGTACCAGTGTTGGCAGAAGGCTCAGTGCACCAGTGTTATCAGAAGGCTCGGTGTACCAGTGTTGGCAGAAGGCTCGGTGTACCAGTGTTATCAGAAGGCTCAGTGTACCAGTGTTGGCAGAAGGCTCAGTGTACCAGTGTTGGCAGAAGGCTCGGTGTACCAGTGTTATCAGAAGGCTCAGTGTACCAGTGTTGGCAGAAGGCTCAGTGTACCAGTGTTGGCAGAAGGCTCAGTGTACCAGTGTTGGCAGAAGGCTCGGTGTACCAGTGTTGGCAGAAGGCTCAGTGTACCAGTGTTGGCAGAAGGCTCAGTGTACCAGTGTTGGCAGAAGGCTCAGTGTACCAGTGTTATCAGAAGGCTCAGTGTACCAGTGTTGGCAGAAGACTCAGTGTACCAGTGTTGGCAGAAGGCTCAGTGTACCAGTGTTGGCAGAAGCCTCAGTGCACCAGTGTTGGCAGAAGCCTCAGTGCACCAGAGTTGGCAGAAGGCTCAGTGTACCAGTGTTAGCAGAAGGCTCGGTGTACCAGTGTTGGCAGAAGGATCAGTGTACCAGTGTTGGCAGAAGGCTCGGTGTACCAGTGTTGGCAGAAGGATCAGTGTACCAGTGTTGGCAGAAGGCTCGGTGTACCGTGTTTGGGAGAAGGATCAGTGTACCAGTGTTGGCAGAAGGATTTAGTGTTTCCAGTGTTGGCAGAAGGCTCGGTGTACGAGTGTTGGCAGAAGGATCAGTGTACCAGTGTTGGCAGAAGGATCAGTGTACCAGTGTTGGCAGAAGGCTCGGTGGTTACCCGTGTTGGCAGAAGGCTCGGTTTTACCAGTGTTGGCAGAAGGCTCGGTGCACCAGTGTTTGGGAGAAGGCTCGGTGTACCCGTGTTGGCAGAAGGTCGGGTTTACCAGTGTTGGCAGAAGGCTCGGTGTACCAGTGTTGGAGAAGGCTCGGTTTTACCAGTGGGTTTGGGAGAAGGCTCGGTGCACCAGTGTTGGCAGAAGGCTCGGTGTACTAGTGTTGGCAGAAGATCAGTGTACCAGTGTTGGCAGAAGGCTCATGTTTCCCGTGTTGGCAGAAGGCTCGGTGTACCTAGTGTGGCAGAAGGATCAGTGTACCAGTGTTGGCAGAAGGCTCGGTGTACCAGTGTTGACAGAAGGCTCGGTGTTCCAGTGTTGGCAGAAGGATCAGTGTACCAGTGTTGGCAGAAGCTCGGGTTTTACCAGTGTTGACAGAAGGCTCGGTGTTCCAGTGTTGGCAGAAGGATCAGTGTACCAGTGTTGGCAGAAGGCTCGGTGTACCAGTGTTGACAGAAGGCTCGGTGTTCCAGTGTTGGCAGAAGGATCAGTGTACCAGTGTTGGGAGAAGAGACTCGTGTACCAGTGTTGGCAGAAGGTCATTGTACCAGTGTTGGCAGAGAAGCTCAGTGTACAGTGTTGGGGAAGGCTCGGTGTACCCGTGTTGACAGAAGGCCGGTGTTCCAGTGTTGGCAGAAGGATCAGTGTACCAGTGTTGGCAGAAGGAAACAGTGTACCAGTGTTGGCAGAAGGTCGGTGTACCAGTGTTGGCAGAAAGGGTCAGTGTACCAGTGTTGGCAGAAGGCTCGGTTTTACCAGTGGGTTTGGGAGAAAGGTCAGTGTACCAGTGTTGGGAGAAGGATCGGTGTACCAGTGTTGGCAGAAGGCTCAGTGTACCAGTGTTGGCAGAAGGCTCGGTGTACCAGTGTTGGCAGAAGGCTCGGTGTACCAGTGTTGGCAGAAGGCTCAGTGTACCAGTGTTGGCAGAAGGCTCGGTGTACCAGTGTTGACAGAAGGCTCGGTGTTCCAGTGTTGGAGAAGATCAGTGTACCAGTTTTTGGCAGAAGGCTCAGTGTACCAGTGTTTGCAGAAGGCTCGGTGTACCAGTGTTGGCAGAAGGCTCGGTGTACTAGTGTTGGCAGAAGATCAGTGTACCAGTGTTGGCAGAAGGCTCATGTACCAGTGTTGGCAGAAGGCTCGGTGTACCAGTGTTGGCAGAAGGCTCGGTGTTCCAGTGTTGGCCCGAAGGACAGTGTACCAGTGTTGGCAGAAGGCTCGGTGTTCCAGTGTTGGCAGAAGGCTCGGTGTACCAGTGTTGGCAGAAGGATCAGTGTACCAGTGTTTGCAGAAGGCTCGGTGTTCCAGTGTTGGCAGAAGGATCAGTGTACCAGTGTTGGCAGAAGGCTTGGTGTACCAGTGTTGGCAGAAGGCTCGGTGTACCAGTGTTGGAAGAAGGCTCGGTGTACCAGTGTTGGCAGAAGGCTCGGTGCACCAGTGTTGGCAGAAGGCTCGGTGTACTAGTGTTGGCAGAAGATCAGTGTACCAGTGTTGGCAGAAGGCTCATGTACCAGTGTTGGCAGAAGGCTCGGTGTTCCAGTGTTGGCAGAAGGATCAGTGTACCAGTGTTTGCAGAAGGCTCGGTGTTCCAGTGTTGGCAGAAGGATCAGTGTACCAGTGTTGGCAGAAGGCTCGGTGTACCAGTGTTGGTATTCAGGTGTATCGATTAGAACGTACCTACTGTAGTATGTATTTCTTCATCAAAGATTCACACCTGGCTTCTGCAGACTTTCCTCGAACAGGTGAACGTCGACAGTGATTACTAGTTGTTTTCTCACTTACCTCTGTAATTATGTACCTCTGCTAGAGTGGTCAGCTATGTACTTGCCTGTCTTACTGCTACTTCTAGTTTACCTCTGTAATTATGTACCTGTGTTAGAGTGGTCAGCTATGTACTTAACTGTCTAGTAGCTACTTCCTCACCTACTTACCAAGGTCTAACGGGTGGACCAAAGATTAAGACCCGTGTCAGGACTCTCTCCTGACAAATATTACAAGAACCTACTTAGTTATGTAATTAATTAGGAACTTCAACCTCGCCTCATACCCCGTAGCTCCTGTGTTTGTGTGTGGTTTGTGTGTGTGTTGGGGTGTTGTGTGTGGTGTGTGTGTGTGGGGTGTGTGTGTGTGTGTGTGTGTGTGGTGTGTTGTGCTGCAGGGGTGTATTATGTGACAGTGGTTCTATGGCGGTCTTTATGGATCGCTAGGTACGTGAGATGAAAGAGAGATGTCCCTATAGTACCGCATAGTACACACACACACATACACACACACACACACACACACACACACACACACACACACACACACACACACACACCACACCCACACACACACACACACACACACACACACACGTACGTTTGCAGACAATGAGACGTTGATGTAGAGAACTGGGTGTATTTCGGCCGCATACACAATTTTTTAAGTAGGTACGAAAGGGCCCGTGTGGCCAGGAATAGTGTAAACCGTCCGTGAGTAACGGAGAGGCGGGGACAGGAGCTTAATCTCCACCACAACAGCGGCCACAACTAAAAGCACGCACAAATTTGTAAAGAGATTGAACAAACAGTTTCGAAGACAGAGTGGATATCCCTCTCTTTCCCCTCTCTACCCACTCTCTTTCCCCTCTCTACCCACTCTCTTTCCCCTCTCTATCCCCTCTCTACCCCCCCTTACCCCTGTCTATCTCCTCTCTAAACCCTTTTCTCTACCCCTCTCTATCCCCTCTCTACCCCCTCTCTACCCCTCTCATCCCATTTCTACCCCCTCTCTACCCCCTCTCACTCCCTGTCTATCCCTCTACCCCCTCTCTACTCCCTGTCTATCCCTCTGCCCTCTCCTACCCCGTCTTACCCCCCCTCTCCCCCTGTCTATCCCTCTCTACCCTTTTCTCTACCCTCTCTTACCCCTCTCTACCCTCTCTCTACCCCCTCTCTACCCTCTCTCTATCCCCTCTCTACGCACTTTCCCTCACTCGTGCTGACGATAAGCTGACAGTGTTTGTGTTAAAATGAAATACCGAAAATTAATGAAAAGTCCCCCGAGACACTGATGAAAAAGACACGACACTTGGGAATCTTCACTGCCAAAATGTTCCTCCTGTGTAGCAGACTTCAGTCGAATACAGGTGAATATAACACTGGGGACAGAAGTAGTTACTTTTCCTGTCTCCAGTGTTATATTCACCTGTATTCGACTGAAGAAACCCGCTGGAAAGGCGAGACGTTCCGACAATAATCATACGTAAGTGTTGCACATGTATATTTATTTATCATCCTGTCGGTATTGCTTATCATCAATAATATGATTTTTGAAACACTGTTCAGTGATGCTGGAATTAAGAGTTGAGATTGATTTGTTAACTGCAGGTATCTTGTTGAAGGATCCAAGTGGGGATATATGTAGGTAGTTTGTGGTATCTTCTCTGTTCTTCTATGTTTCGTCTTCCTCCCGTCCCCTCCTCTGTCCCTCGCTGCCTCTAATGCTGACAAAATATCTTCCTTCAAGTCTTTTCATTCTGTCTCTTCGCTTTGGCTCTATCCACCTCCCGCAGCTCTACTGAGTCATTATCACGGCTTTGAGACTAATCGATCCTGTCTATTAACGCTCTGTGAGGGATCTATTTAGGCTCTAACACTGCTCTAAAATAGTGAAATTATTATTATTATTATTATTATTATTATTATTACGTTCACTGGAAAGCATTAAACCTGTAATGAGTGGTGAGATAAAGTTTGATCCGATGAAGGGAAGCATAGCTCAGATTCCTTGAATCAAAAACCCTTCACCGGCATCAGGAGCGAAAACCTTAAGACTGCTCTTAACTGTCTTTTATTCCTCAGCTAATGGTGTATTCTTTGTTTCCTATGCCCACAGATACTCTTGAAGGCGGACAAATCGCAGGACTTCGAAGTACTTTGAAGTCTTCTTCGACATGTACTGAGAGAGTGAGAGTCGAAGTTCATTTCCCTCCTGCGCCTTCCTCAACCACTCCACCTTCGGAAGCTGCCCCTCGCCGACTCGTACACAGCATCGTATGTTGTTTGCGATTTTTAGAGAAACCAATAGGGCATAGAACTTCCAAAGAATGATAATGACTTCGATATGCCCTCAGCAACTGTGGCAGGAACAGAGGGAAGGTTTTAGTAACTGGTCGAAGGCTCTAGCTTCGAGAATTACACCAACAGCCTCGCGAGATCAGCTACAGGCACCAACAAAGGTGTCGCAAGACTCGCTAGAAGAACCAGCAAAAGTGTCGCAAGATCCAGTAGAAGCTGAGGCGACGCCGCAGGTCGCATCTCAGGTCAAAGTACAATCCATGTTGCCGCAGGTTAGGGTTACACCCCAGCCAAAGCCAAGGGCTGACGGGACACTGATGTGGCTGGCGTCTGTCAGCCTGCTGACCCTCGCCTGCATCCTAGGCTTCGCTGACGCCGCCGATGGTAAGTAACACTTCGTTTTTTAAGGTGTTACTCCTGTTAAGCATTTTGTAAGGCCTAGTTCCACCTCCTCTTGTATGTTATTATATATATAATATAATATATATAATATATATATATTATATATATATATATATATATAATATATAATATATATATAATATATGTCGTGCCGAATATGCAGAACTTGATATCTTGGCTTAAATAGCAACGTTCATCTTGCTATATAGGACAAGCGAAAATTTGTGTATGCAATAATTTCGCCAAAATCATTTTGAACCCAACGAAAAAAATATATTTCACTGTGTTTGTTTAGTATTAAATTACTGTAAACAAATCTAAAATATATTTAGTTGGGTTAGGCTAAAATAAATTGTTCTTCTTATAATAAAGTTAGGTAAGTTTTCTAAGATTCTTTTGGTGCAAAATTAATTTTTTTTATATTAACATTAATGAAAAAAATGTTTCTTTAAACGTATAAGAGAAAATTTTGCTAATTGACCAGTTTTACATATTCGCCACGACATATATATATATATATATATATATAATATATATATATATATATATATATATATATATATATATATTATATATATATATATATTTTATATATATATAATATATATAATATAATTTTATATATATATATATATTTAAAATATATATATATATATATATATATTATATATAGCAAATATTTGCGAACAATCGATTCAAGATGTGAAAACAACCACGGGAGTTGAATGATAGCTCTAGGCCCTTCGTGTTGCAATCAACACATTATCAGGAGCTTGCAGTGTTGCAGAAAAGAGGAGGATGTCCAAGCAAATACGATCACGGAGAGCGTCTTTACTGGAGTGACCCCCCCCCCCACCGTGGTTGTTTTACACACACACACACAGTCGGGGCCAGGAGCTATGTCTCGACCCCTGCAACCACAAATAGGTGAGTAAACACACCCACACACACACACATATATATTATATTTCTACGTATATAGTATATAACATTGGTAGGCAGGTATCATGGTCATAGGGAGGGAGGGAAGAAGGAGGGAGGGAGGGAAGGAGGGAGGGAAGAAGAGGGAGGAAGGGAAGGAGGGAGGGAGGGAGGGAAGAAGAGGGAGGGAGGGAAGGAGGGAGGGAGGCCAGGATCACAGGATGGATGTTGTGGAGGTTAAATAAACCGTGATGGAGAATCAAGTTACAGGAGTCAACACAGTGGAGGGTAGTGGAGGTAGGTGGGTTATAGGTGTTTTGAGGGTAGTGGGTGGTGGAGGGAAGTGGAGGGTGGGAGGGTAGTAGGAGGGGGAAGGAAGGGAGCAGTGGGTGGATTGTGGTGGGTCAAAAGGGAGTGAATACAGAAGGGGGGTGGAGGGAGAAGGTGGAGGGAAGGTGGAGGGGAGGAAGTGGAGGGGAGTAGGGGAGAGGGGAAGGGGAGGAGGAGAAAGGAGGTGGATGGGAGGGAAGTGGATGAAACAGTCATATCTTTCTCTTTACTCTCTTAATCTCTTCTTTTCTCTTGTGATTCTCTGTTTATCTTCCTTCCTCATAATTTTGCACCTCCGAAATAGCCAGCAGCCAGCCGCCAGCCAGCCAGCCACCAGCCAGCCAGCCAGCCAGCCAGCCAGCCAGCAGCACCAGCAGCCAGTCAGCCAGCCAGTCAGCCAGAGCACCAGCCAGCCAGCCAGCCGCAGCCAGCACCCACCACCACCAGCGCCAGCCAGCCAGCACCCCAAGCCACCGCAGCCAGCCACCCAGCCACCAGCCAGCCAGCCATCCCCCCACCCAGCCAGCCAGCCAGCCACCAGCCGTCAGCCAGTCAGCCAGCCAGCCACCACCCCACCAGCCAGCCGCCACCAGCGCCAGCAGCCACCACCGCCGCCCCACCACCCCATCCCGCCCCCCCCCACCCCCCCCCCCTCCCCTCCCCCCCCCCCCCCCTCCCCAACCCGCCACCACCACCAGCCCCCACCCTCCATACCCCCTATCCTCCCCCTCCCTCCCCCCCCCCCTCCCTCCCTCCCCCCCCCCCCCCCCTTTCCCCTCTTTTTCCCCTTTTCTTCTCCTTTTCCTATAATTTCCCCACCCTAGTATTTCTTTTTTTTTTTCCCCTTTTTTTAAAACCCCCCTTTCCCCCCAAAAAATTTCTTTCCGGGTTCACCTTTCCCCTTTTTTCCCTTCCCCACAAAAAACCCATTTTTTCAACGGGGCCAATTTTTTAAAACCCATTTTATTTTCTTTTATTTTTTTTTTTTTTTTTTTTTTTTTTTTTTTAATATTTTATGAAAAAAAAAAAAATTCGATGGGGGAGGAATTCAGTTCTTTGATGGCCCTTAACCGCCCACAAGGGGGAAAAAAAAATAGGGTTAAAATGATAAAAAAAAATTTTTAAAAACCGGGAATTTTAATTAAAAATTTTTTTAAAAATTTTTAAATTTTTTTTTTTACACCAAAAAATTGTCCTTGGTTAAAACCCCCCCGGCCAAGGCAGGTTTAGGATGGGGGCCAGGTTTTCAATTTTTCCCCTTGGACTTTTTTTTTTTTTTTTTTTTTCCCCCAAAGGGGGGGAAAAAAAAATGGGGCCTGGTTAGGAGGGGCCCCAAAGGGGGGGTTTCGGGATGGAGCAAGGTCCAGGATGGGGCAGGGGGTTCGGGATGGATCCCTTGTCCAGGAGGGGGCCGGGGTTAGGAAGGGGCCATGGTCCAGGAGGGTCAGGTCCGGGATGGGGGCCATAGTCCGGGATGGGGGCCATGATCCTAAGATGGGGGCCTATCCGGAGGGGGGGCCCATGGTTTAAAGAGGGGAAATGGCCCGGGGATAGGCCATTTTTCAGAATGGGGCAGTGGTCCAGGATGGGGCCATGGTCAGGAAGGAGCCAGATCCAGGATGGGCCGGGTTCAGGATAGAGCGTGGTCCGGAGGGGCATTGGTTCAGGATGGGCAAGGTCCAAGGGAGCAGGGGTTCAATGGGGAGTGACCAGGAGGGGGGCCCGGGTCCGGGAAAAAGCCATGATCCAGAAGGGGGCCATACCTGGGGTTCCCCTGGAGGTTTTTCCGGGGGATAAACGCCCCCGCGGCCCGGTCCACGCCCGGGCCCTCCCGATGGTCAGGGCCTATCAACGGCGTTACTCTGGCCGCACGCAGTCCGACGACAGCCCGCCCGGCTGTTTTCCGGCACTGACTTTTTTACTGTCCAGCTCTCCTTGAAGGCAGCTAGGGTTTATTGCAAACCCCCTAAGTTTGAGGGAGGGTGTTGAATTTTTTTGGGCCCCGGACACTTATGGTTTTTTTTCCCTTTAGTGTCCCATGGCCCCCCTACTTTTTATTGGGGCATTTGCATCGCCTCCCCATCTTTTACTTTCGTGGGAGTGTTTTCTGTGTCGTTTTGGGGACCTTCCTTCAAGATTTTCCAAGGTAATTATATTATCTCTCCTCCCGTTTTTCCACGAGTCAAGTCAAGTGCTTTCAAGCGTTCCCAGATTAAAGGTGTTGACAGAATTTCTGCAGTAAAGGATCTCTTCACTCTCTAGATCGCTTTTCACCGCTTTTTTTGGAGATTTTAATGTACCATACCAGCCTAAGAGAACAAGTGTTTTGAAAAGGTATCATGGGCTTGGCAACTCTCGTTTTGAAAGTTCTCATTACCACCCTATCATTTTTTTGCACGTGCGATCGTGGCACTTTTTATCCTTAAAGGAGATCTAACTTACACTCCCGGGGCCCTTCAAAATTTTTTCGCTCTATTGTTGGCCGAGTCATGTATCCTTTTCTATTATTTTCCCTCCATTTTTCCCCATAAGGAGTATTTGGGAATTTGCCAATTGAACATCTTTATTGTTTACGTTCCCCACTGGAAAAACTTTTTTTATTCTTCTTGGGGGGTTAACCGCACCCTCAGCAATGACAGCCTCATGCAGATCCTAGTATCACCCCGCAAAGGTGATACGGTGCGTGGGTTTTTCTCTGTTTAGTCTGATTTAGGATAAGGAAAAAAGGGGGGCGAGTACTGTCCTTGTGGAACGGCCTTCCTAGGCAGCCTCCGATTTAACCTGTTGCCCCAACTCTTTGTGTTCGATTTGTTGGGAAATTTGAAGATCCATCTCCCCATTTTCCCCATTACCCTTTAGCAGTATTTTAGGGGCTATTCGCCTGATCCTTTTGTCAAATGTTTTTGCAAAGTTGTGTATATTACTCTGCATTTGTTTTTCTTCCAGTCATAAAGGGCCCAAATTTATGTGATCCAGTAGTTGGAGGGGCAGGACGACCTGCCCTGAACCTTTTTTTCCCTGGATTGTGCAGTTTTTGGGGGAACCAGGTGATTTGCAACCCTGCCTTACACTCTTTAAATTTTTTATGATGTGGGAGGGGGATACCGTTTTTTTAATGACTGTGGAATTTCACCCATGAAAGCTCCTCCTCCTAGTGTACTTAGGCCGCAGGGGGGTTTTTTCTTGCAGTTTTTAAATGAAAAAGTTTCCCCCCGAGTCTGGGGCCCCGGGGGTGAGGCATAGGCATGTTGTAAAATGGCTTTTTCGAAATCTATGGAGTTAGGAATGTCGAAACTGCTACATTTATGGATTTTTTGGGCTCTCATGAAGAAATCTTTTGGGGTCTCTCCTCAGACCGATTAGTGGTTCACAAACCCGAGTCTACTGGATTTCAATATTTCACTTTTTTTCCTTGTTGTCGTCGTGTAAGCCCCACCTCTGAAAAGGGCCCCCGATACAAGTGGTATTGCCTTGTTTTTGGTTTAAAAAAAAAATTTTTGGAATTTTTTTCAATTTCACAAATAGTTTTAAACTCCTCCGCCTCTCCTGGTTCTGTAAAATTCTTTTAGCTTAAGTTCGAAGTTTCCATTTCCCGGGTCACGCCTCCTTTCGGTATCAATTTCAGCACTCCTGGGGGGCCATTAATCTTCGTCTTTTCTTAAAAGGGAGCTTTCTTTTTCCTCCATTTTTCTCCTCTCTTCTTTTTTTGGGAAATATGCCAGAAAAAAGGC